GGTACTATGTCTTTTTTATTTTACAAATAAATATCAGTCATGTACTGAACATAATTCTGAACTGAAAGCCAATTTATTTCTTTTAACATAGTTGCAATACTCATTCTTCTGTCCTTTATTAATATTATATAAATGTACGAAGTAAGGAGCCCAAATATTTTACATGAGCAGGCTTAAGAGGTAAACGGGCCAATTATTATTGGATAAATTGCTCAAACAAGTTTGTAAACCCTAATCAAAAGGCGATATAGAATGGTTTTAAAAATCAAGGCTTGTGAAAATCATCACATGGTTTAACCTAATTAATGCCAATGCTTCACAAACCAAAAAATTCAACGTCCTAATACTACTATCGGCTTTCGGTCTTTCGTTCCAAGTTAAATCATTTCTCGTTTTTGTTACGCTACAAGTTTACCCTTGTGGGCCTCAGTCTCTATAAGGTGGGAACCACCATTTTGGCGTCTCTCGAATTGTAATTTATTATCGTACGATCATCTTTAGAAAACCGATCTATGTCCCTAATACGCTGGACTTAATTTATGTTCAATAACTCTGTTCCTGTCGCACATCGACGAGATTTGCTGCTACCTTATTGATTGGTGGCTGCTGCTGGTTAATTTGTATTGGTTGTTAACGTAACAGATTCAGTCTTGTCTAGACCACATTGACTCTTTGATCCATATCACCCATATTTGGTGTGTTACAGGATAGTACTCGATCTTACGCAGCGCTTTCTTTTACTAGAGTTAATTTAATTATTTTATTTTTGTCTTTATAAATAGCTTTTTGGAGACAGTTTGAAAGTAATAGAGATTCTATTGTTCCATAAGGTATGTTGCAAGGGCATATTCTCGAAATTTATTTTTGAATATAACAAGTCTTTAACAATACTGTGACGAAGTCACTAAATTTTATTTTTAATTAATTATAAAAATGTAATTTTAATTAATTTCCGCCTGGGAAAGTTTCAAAGAGCCCCCTATTTTGTTTCCTAGGAAGTCCCGTTTTTAAACATTTGCGAGAGCCCTCGTAATGTAAAATATTTCCATATTCACTGAAATGAAGCTAGTAGGTGTGTATTAATTTAAATTAGGAAATGAATCAATTTTAAAACGAATTCATGGCGGTTACGCCCATTATTTGAAATTTGATGTAAGTACTAGGTTAGGTATATTTTGCGTTTGGCCTCGTCTATATCGTATTGTGTTCAATTAAATTTAAAATAGTTTATTGCACAACAAGTCCAAATAAAGTAACCTTTTCCACAGTTTCACAAAATTACTGACGGTTGTGTCTGAAGGGAAAGTGAATTCTACAGTCACACAAGTATGAAATATGTTTTATATACGAGTAGCACGGCATACTTTTTCTACGACTCCAATGATTAAATCACAAATACCACATTTTTTATATTTTTTTTTTGTAATATACATATATATTAATAATTTCCATCACTACTAAATTAAGTAAGATTTTTAATAGTTACAAATTTTCAGTAATGTCAAACATTCAAGATTAGAAATCACATATTTAACACGTTAAGCGCCAAGGTGGTCACTAGTGACTAATAGTAAACTAACTCACCAGACCATGGCGGACACTGATGTCTATGTAGAGATATACTCATGGGTATAAGTGAGATCTTTTCACACCATATTAATGTCCCTCTCGATGTACAATTTTTATCCCATTTAACAGAATCTGTATATCTAACCTAATTAGGTTAATTTTAAGTGGAATATCCTGTATACAGTTATTTTTATATGGGCCACAGCACTATATTTAATAAATAAGTGGACCGGTGTGAAGATAGCAGCCAATTTCAGCAGCCAAAATTTCCGGAAACGCACGATTGTGCATTTCAGTGGCGTACAAGCTAAATATGACAAAAATTAAGAAAAAAAAATATCACAAAAGACAACGCTTTAATAAGTTTATTAAACATCTATTTTATAATTTTCAATAAATATTCATAATTTTAAAGTAAGCTGAACATAAAAAAAAACAAATAATGAAAACGATTCAGTATTTTCTGAGTTCATTTTTGGCAATTAAATAGCAAATGATAAGTAATACAGTTAAAAGAAAAATTGCTCCCAAACTGTCAAAGGGGTTGATTTTATTAAATATTAGGGTTGAGAAATCAACCCCTTTGACCATTCGGAAGCAATTTTCCTATTAACTATATATAGTACTAGCAATTCACTTTTTAAGTACTACATATAAATTTGGCTTTTCATTTATTTTAGAAATTATGATTTTTTTAAATATTAGAGTTGAGAAATCAACCCCTTTGACCATTCGAAAGCAATTTTCCTTTTAACTGTATATAGAACTAGCCATTTACTTTTTAATTGCTAAATATGAATTTGACTTTTCATTTATTTTCATACATTTGGGGATAGAAATCAACCCCTTTGACCGTTGGGAAGCAATTTTCCTTTTAACTGTATATAGTACTGGCCATTTGCTTTTTAGTTGCCTAATATGAACTTGGCTTTTTATTTATTTTAGGAATTGTGATTTTTTAAATATTAGGGTTGAGAAATCCACCCCTTTGACCGTTGATAAGCAATTTTCCTTTTAACTGTATATAGTACTGGCCATTTCCTTTTAGCTGTATATATTACTAGCCATTTACTATTTATGTGCTAAATATGAATTTGACTTTTCATTTATTATAGGAATTATGAATTTTTTTATTATTAGGGTTGAGAAATCAACCCCTTTGACTGTTTTTTAAATTAAAAGACACAAAAGGAGTGCAATTATTAAAAAAATATAGAACTAAAAAAAAATGAAAATGACGAGTGTGAAGTTATCCACATCCACAAATATACACTGAGAAAAATACAGCTTCATTGTAATAGTCATATAACTTGGTTCAAATGACATTTAGACGCTTTTCTTTTGCATATTTCAATTGAGGAGGTTTCAATACATAACAACCATACCCGCAATTAACTTTTGCTCCGTCTGAGGGGGTGCAATTCGGGGTGAAATTTAAAAAAAATCATAGAAGCCACAAATGGCTTTGTACACCTGTTTGGGATATGTAGTGGCTTCTATGATTTTTTTAAATTTCACCCCTAATTGCACCCCTTCAGACGGCTCGACAAACTCCAGCATGGTCTCAGGGATGAAGAAAAGATCAAACTACATAACATATCTCAAGAAGAAAGGTGTACAGAGCCATTTGTGACTTGTACGATTTTTTTTTAATTTCTCCCCCCCCCTAATTGCACCCCTTCAGACGGCTCGACAATCTCCAGCATGGTATCATATATGAAGAAAGGAGCAAACTACATAACACATCCCAAGCAGAAAGGTGTACAAAGCCATTTGTGGCTTTTATGATTTTTTGTTAAATTTCACCCCAATTGCACCCGCTCAGACGGCTCGACAAACTCCAGCATGGTATCAGGGATGAAAAAAATAGCAAACTACATAACATATCCCAAGCTGAAAGGTGTACAATGCCATTTGTGGCTTATGATTTTTTTTAAATTTCACCCCCAATTGCACCCCCTCAGACTGAGCAAAAGTTAATTGCGGGTATGGTTGTTATGTATTGAAACCTCCCCAATTGAAATCTGCAAATGAAAAGCATCTACATGTCATTTGAATCAAGTTATATGACTATTACAATGGAGCTGTATTTTTCTCAGTGTACATTTGTGGATGTGGATAACTTAACACTCGTACGAAAATGTATTGTGAATAATCCCAATATAAATAGTCATCTGATTGTATCGTGTTTTCTTCAAAAATGGAATTACCTAAGGTTTTATTCAAATTATTATTAAACTGAATTAAAAGAAATTAGCTCGAGAATTACCCAACAGTACTTGGCATTACCAAGCATTACTTGGTATTATCTAGTATTACTTTGGAAAAACCTGGTATTATTTTGGAATTTGTGGCATTATTGAAGTAATACCACAATTTGGCAATACATGTAGGTTCTCTAGCAGGGTGAAAGACCCCTCGGTATTCCCTATATTTATTATAGGCAAACAAAATAATCCTTCAAAAAGGTGATAGTTGTGTACATGCTAGGTAATTCAGAAATTGAACTCTAGTGGGTATTTTAAGTGTGTAAACTAGAATTATTCGAATACAATCCTGTCTTTAATTAAAAGTTAGTCTAGATGAAGACTGGCCTAATAAGCTGAAAGCGGTGGACTAATTTTTAATTAAAGACTAGATTGTATTAAGATAATCTCAGTTTACACACTTAACATACCCACTAGTTTCATTTCTGAAACCAAATAATGATTTTATTAAATCATATATAACAAATCATGTACCTATTAAAGTCCGGTGCTGTTAGAGTGCTGTGCTTGCTCACCGCTATAGATTCTTTTGATGTTGTTTTAAAAGAGAAACAGCAGATAATAAAATTAATTACAACTGTACAAGCAGAATAAATAGACATTAAGATAAAGGTTGGAATGCATTATAACTAGCAATTGTAGTATAAAACATATTTGTCAGTCTTTGCAGGCCTGATGATGGCCTTAGTGCCAACACCTGTTGCCATGTAAATGTTCTTAATAAATAAACAATTTAATGAAGAGTGGAAAGAAAAAAGTTCTTTATGTCTCACAATATGTATTTCTTTTTGAAGCGACTGGTTTCGAAGTTTAAAACTTCATCTTCTGATACGCCTGTTTAAAATAACTGTTCATCAGTTGTTTAAATAATTTTTTTTAACAAGTGTTCCAAACAATTTAAAACAAATAAAAAACTGTTTAAAACAAAAAGCATGATTTTTTTAATAGCCTTGTTTTTTCTAACTCTGATGGCTACATCTGGTGTTCCTCAAGGGTCACATTTGGAACCTCTACAGAGTTTTAAAGATATTGACAGGAAATTTGCAATTTTTTTAAAATTTGTCGGACCGTCTCTGTACCTACTTACATTTTTTTACAATATCCTGTATAATAAAAATATGATTTATATTTTATCTTTATTAAATATAAAAATGATGTTCTTACCTCGTAACTGATATATTGTTTTCTCCATTCTGGTGTGATATGAGCCGTAAGATGTTCAGCAAATTTCATGACTAACGTTTTTCAAAACGAAATATTCGTCGAATATTTTGTTGCATTCAAACATTCAATACTGATACTGGTGGAATTTTCACAAAGGATTCTTAGGTGCTAACTATGTGTATACATTTAGGTATTGTAATTTGTAAGTTCAATTAGCTTTTAATAATTAAATTTGATAAGATGTATTGATCTAATATTTAGATAGTATATAAAACATACCGATTGTTGATATTTTATTGTTCAAACAACTAAATGTAAAATCTATTACGTTTTTATATGTGGATTATCCCGTGATTAAGATTGCAATATTTGCAATTTACATTTTTAATATTGTGGTTATGTTATGACATTTGCTCTTTGATCGCTCACGCTCACTAATATAAAATATTCTAGTGAGTTTACTTGTGCGAGTTTCTATAGTGGTTATCACGCATGGAGGTAGAACCTCCATGTTATCACGGCATAACGTGTGTCTTTTTTCCACCGGTTTGTTGCAACCAGTGTTGTTCCTAGGGATTTTTGAATTGTACAACTTTCAGTGTCAAAATTGTACACTTTTACTTTCGATTGTACAACCATTAATTAATCTTCTTCTTTTTTATTGACAGACTATGCCTACTACTTTCCCATGCTTAAAATTCTTCTTTTTTCCAGTTTAAAATATATTTTTGATGTAAAACGGTGTACTGATTAGTCGCGAATGGCGCCAAATTTAAACTTTTATTTTTTTATTAATTTTAATGCATGCTATTTAACAAATCGTAGACTTTTTGAGCGAAGAAAACCTTTTATATACCCGATTTTACATACATATTTAGCAATTTCAAATTGTACAACATTTCTGTCTTTTTTCAAAAGTGCGTACAACAGTACAACCGCATAACTGATTGTACAACTTTTTGTACAATTGTACAACCAGGAACAACACTGGTTGCAACCGTTGTTTCACCGATGCGGCCTTGAACGTTTTGTGTTGGATTCTGGTTGACCGTTGAAATAAATAACAGTTGACATACCGCACCGATGCCAACGTTGCTGCAACAGTTGGATAAAAAGACACACGTATACCGTGGTGGTTATTCTGTTTCTATTATGATTCTGACACCGTTGCCAAATGGAATTGGTACCTATTTAAATTTTAAAAATAAAAATTGTAGGTATTTTCATCAACAAATAAACTGATGATTATTAATCATTAGATTTCCGTATTAACTGTACATTTTGTGTTACTGTTTTCCAGCACCACTTTGGGAAAATCTATCAAAATAATAATTATAGGGGGGTGGGTTGGCTCAGTGGTTAGAGTCATGACTTTGAGATCGGAAGGTCTCAGGATCGAATCCCACCGTTGGCCGGGATTTTTTCATTTAATTTAATTATTTAAAATTAATTCTGATGCCTTGGTAGGATTCCCGACTCGACCATTCACTGTTGGGTTCTAATTAACAGTGCTGTTCCTAAAGTGGCGCTGGGAAACAGTAACAAAGCCTACACAGAACACGAGGCGAAATAACCTTAGCAGTTGAAGCCGATGACACACAAAAAAAAATAATAATAATAATAACAAGTGATAAGTTTAATTTATAGAACACCTACATCTTGGTTCTGGTGGGATTCAAACCCGGAGTCCCTACTGCAAGTCTCTAATAACTGGGCTACCTCCTTCTAATAAATTATTATTTCACAAATAACAGGATAAGAGTACAATTGAAACGTTTAAAATATTTATTTTCTAACGCCATGCAACATTTTACTGTAGACTACTTACTTTTGGTATCATTTGGCAACTCTACTAGCGATTCAGTTCGTTACATATGTTCGTCGCTCGCACTAAATAATTCACTAGTTTATAGTTTTTCGATTGTCGCAACCATTGATTTAAAATATATAAATATATTAATGACGTCATTGAATTAATTTTTTTAAATTTCGCGTTGTTTTGAAAAGGTACTTCATTTAGTTTAAATCGTTATGACATTATAATAATTGCAATAGATAAAAAACTGTTAAATAATTCGTTTTAAAATTTCCAAACATTATTTAACTCTTGCTAACCGTACGAATATGATTGCGAAAACTGCATAAGTCAAATGTCCAAAATTTGTTTATCATTTACGTCAATTGTCAGTTACGTCAATTATCAGTTGTCAAACTTTGTCAGTGATCAAAAAAGCATCATCTCAGTGCTAAGCTGTATTTTTATAGAAACACGAAGTTGTGGTTGTTTTTTTCGTGTTTTCGCCAAATTTCTCTTTGTTTATACTAAATAAACGCGCAGTAATTAATTATAAGACACAGTAATTTTTTGTGATAAAATGACGACCCAACCGCACAGTAGAAAACGAGTTTGCTATTACTATGACAGTAAGTATTTTTGATCAAATATATATTTTTTATTGCATGCATTTTAAGGTAATTAATCGTATTTGTCTGTTTAACGTTTTACGCAAGTATAAATTTTTATGTATTTTTGGTATTTTCCCTCTTAATTTGTCATGTACGGTATTCGAAATTGTAAATCCAGAAAATCATGATGGACTAATCGGGACCGTAGAATCGGAGCAATGCCATTGGCCGCAACCTGACATGACGTATGCATGATGCTCATTTCTACGGTTGTCCGATGAATTTTTATTAGTCCATCATGATATTCTGCAGTGAAATATTTTTTTGTAATTTACGTTTTTCTGATCTACAGGCGATATTGGAAATTATTATTATGGACAAGGGCATCCCATGAAACCTCATCGTATACGTATGACCCACAATTTGCTATTGAATTATGGCCTTTACCGCAAAATGGAGATATACGTAAGTGTATTGTTGGGATATGGGTAGTTAAAAGCATGTTTTAAATTATTTTTTTATTATTTAATTAAAAAGATTTATGGGGATGAAAAACTGTTTTAACAGTCTTCTTTAAGTATTGCAATGTGGTATTTTTGTTTGTTTCATTTTTTGCATTTTATGATCAATTAATATAATATTAACTAATGCAGCTAAGTGTGAGTTGATTTTTGATGAGCAATGAGATGTTATTTTGACAACACCTTAATTTTTGTTTAATAATAATTATATGTGGTAAATATTTAAAATAATTTACAGAGGCCTCATAAAGCCACAGCTGAGGAAATGACTAAATTCCATTCAGACGACTACATCAGATTTTTGAGATCCATTCGTCCAGACAACATGTCTGAATACAATAAACAAATGCAACGGTTTAACGTAGGTGAAGACTGTCCTGTCTTCGACGGTCTATACGAATTCTGCCAATTATCAGCAGGCGGTTCAGTCGCTGCGGCCGTAAAACTAAATAAACAAGCCTCAGAGATTTGCATAAATTGGGGCGGGGGATTACATCACGCCAAAAAGTCGGAAGCGTCGGGTTTTTGCTACGTGAACGACATAGTTCTGGGTATATTGGAGCTGTTGAAGTACCATCAGCGTGTTTTGTACATCGACATCGATGTACATCACGGCGATGGGGTTGAAGAAGCATTTTATACCACAGACCGTGTAATGACAGTATCGTTTCACAAATACGGCGAATATTTCCCGGGAACTGGCGATTTGAGAGACATTGGGGCCGGTAAAGGAAAGTATTACGCTGTGAATATCCCGTTGAGAGACGGCATGGATGACGAAGCGTACGAAAGCATTTTCGTACCGATAATCAGCAAAGTTATGGAGACGTTCCAACCCAGCGCAGTGGTGCTGCAATGCGGGGCCGATTCGTTGACAGGCGATCGTTTAGGGTGCTTCAATCTAACAGTTAAGGGCCACGGAAAGTGCGTAGAATTCGTAAAAAAGTACAATTTACCATTCATGATGGTCGGCGGCGGTGGTTACACCATCAGGAACGTTTCGAGGGCTTGGACTTACGAAACGTCGGTCGCCTTGGGCGTGGAAATCGCAAACGAGCTGCCCTACAACGATTATTTCGAGTATTTCGGCCCCGACTTTAAGTTACATATCAGCCCGAGCAATATGGCCAATCAGAACACACCTGAATATTTGGAGAAAATCAAGACACGGTTGTTCGAAAATCTGAGGATGTTGCCTCACGCGCCGGGCGTGCAAGTGCAGGCAATACCCGAGGACGCGATCAACGAGGAGTCTGACAATGAGGACAAGGTGGATAAGGATGAGCGGTTGCCGCAAAAGGACTTGGACAAAAGGATCGTGCCGGAAAACGAGTTTTCCGACAGCGAGGACGAAGGCGAGGGCGACAGGAGGGACAATCGAAGTTACAAGGGACGAAAACGACCGCGGTTAGATAAAGGCGGGGAGAATAAGGACGAAGATAAGATTAAAGATGAAGTCAAAGCGGAAAAAGGTGAGATCGATCAAACAATAATCTTTATTTCTATTTAAATTTATATAAAAACTTTTTTAAACATACTACTTCTTTAACTTATTGAATATTATGCAGTTGGGGAATCATAGTTTTGTACTAAACATGAAAAGCAGGGCGGCATGAGTTACTGTCTGTCTTCTAAGTAGATAAATATATTGTAATCACCAATTATTTAGTCTATATCCAACCAAACACTTTCTTCCTAATATTCTTCTGCCTTGTTAGGCATCGGATTAGGATCGTTTCTCTTTTTGAACTCATTTCTTTCATTCTTGTCTATCCCTGGTTAGTGTCTTCATCTCATCAAAGTTTTTCCTTGTCAATTTCAGTGGTCAATCTATTTTCTAGAATGAGAGCATGTCGAAGATGTGGATTATTTTAGACTGCATTGAAAAAATAACTAACCAACAATCCTAGTTATTGTTAAATATGAGTACTTCAGCTTACCTTTGGTACTAATTGTGGGAATAATTTTGTGATGGGTGCTTCTATTTTGACGCAATTGGTGTCAAATTAAAACTGATAACCTCTTCTTTACCAATAATTAGGGATTGCCTTCATTAGTACTTGCTCCAAAAAGGTAGCATGGAAGATTGTTATGTCATAAAAAGGCTTGTGAAGTTGTCACCCCCCCAATGATATTTCAAAATAACTATTGCACCACAATGCACTAGTGATGCACCAATATGCACCACTAATTTTTTTTGCACCACCTTCCTTGATAAACTACAGCCATCTATTTGTAAGGGGTGGTGTGGGGGCAAATAATCGCTGCCCCCCCCCCCCCCAGTGAAAATTTTAAGATTTTACTGTAATGCACCAGTTAGTACTTGTCATGCAATCATATGCATCACCAATTAAACTTTTTGCACCCCCGCCCTTTAGTAGTTATAGCTGTTTCTTTACCGTGAAGTGGCCCCCACCAATGATTTTTTCACAAAAAAAAAATTGCACAGTTATGCACTCCTGATGCACTCATATGCACCACTAACTAAACTTTTTGCACCCCATCCCTTCGGTAGTTATAGCTGTTTCTTTTAAGACTTTCTAGACTACATAAAATCATAAGTGTTACATATGGTTAAACTCGTATTGAATAGGAGATTCCAATAATAACTTAATATACAGGGTGATCAATTTGAAAAACCAAAGTGACTAATAATATAAGAGAAACGGAAAATCTGGCAACATTGCAAATATCAAATCTGGAATCACCGTATCCCAAAATAGGTGTACCCCAAATTTTGTACAATTAGGACTAGCAATTTACGAGATAATTGGCCGTTTCCAGACTTTTGGGCCACTCTGTAGATATAAGCGTCAAAGCAATTAGCAGATGATGAAGACCATTTTTCTAGCGATAATCACAATGATTTATTCCTTCAAAAATGTGTTTAATTTCTTGTGTCTTGTTCATTTTAATAGTGTTAATATAAACACGTACACCCTTGAAGATTTCATCTCGAATAGTGAACATTCTTGGGAATTTCTATCGATTTCACTTAACGTAAATATGTCCCAATTTTGAAGCATTTGAAGGGTTTTGGGAACTTTCTAGATTCTAAGGTCAATGGATACAAAAACCGAAAACCTTTGCAAGCATATGAGTGCATCAGCAGTACATAACGATGCAATATTTTTTTTTGCGAAAATATAGGGGAGAACTAACTTCACAATAAATAAACAGCTGTAAATGCTAGAGAGAGGGGGTGCAAAAAGTTTAATTGGTGGTGCATATGAGTGCATGACAAGAACTAACTGGTGCATTACAGTAAATCTTAAAATTTTCACGGGGGGGGGGCAGCGTTCATTTGCCCCCCCCCCCCCCACACAAAGAGACGGCTGTAGTTTCTCAAGGAAGGTGGTCCAAAAAAATAATTAGTGGTGCATCACTAGTGCATTGTGGTGCAATAGTTTTTTTTTAAATATCATTGGGAGGGGGCCAACTTCACGCACCTTTCATAAAACCAGAACAAAACAATGTTGAGCCGTAAAAAAGAGCGACCTTTTTTTATTTAGCCTAAAAAGGGTTCGTCTCTTTAACTATTCCTCCTGGGTCTTCTTCGATGTCTTTTTCTTGAATTTCCCATTTCAAACCAAATACAAACTATTAAATTATATTATTCTTTTACTCCAGTGTTAATAAAACTTCATTATAATCCCTTGTGATTAACCTCTTAGATACTTTAATCCCCGTAAATTAGTGCTTTAAATAACACTTTTTGTAATCTGTTTTTCATCAAACTCCTAATAATTTTAAAATGTACTCACATGTTGTACCAAAGTCATTTGTTTTTAGTAATTAGGATATTTGCGGTATTTCATTTCTTTTGTGTTCTATTTTCCTGTTTTTAAGATGATGAGTAATTTGCATTATATGTGCCCCTTGATAATATCGAAAAGATATTTGATACATGATAAATATTAGCTGGATATGTTGTATATATAAATAAAAAATATTGGAAATACAAAAAAATATGAGGAAACAAACACGCTAGAAAATTTTTGTGTTGCTACTTATATGTGTGGCAACAGTGTAAGATTGTTTCATTGTGATTTAATTTACTTTGTTCAAGTATCGCACTCTGACAATCATTTCTACCTTAGAGGGATTTCAGAATAGTTTGGAGTACTAATTCATACTAATATTTTGGACTGAATGTTGTACTTGCATTAGTTACTAGTTGTGAGAATTATGTGGTTATTACCTGCACAATAGTATTTTTTATGATTTTATAGCACTCATGTGTGGAACCCTAATTTTAACACATTCAAGTTTCTGGTTACAAATATAAATGTTTTTTTCAGAAGAGTATTCATTGAATTTAAACAATTTATGAATCAAGTTTTTTTAATTAGTTTTCAATAATACCTGTATCCCACATAATCTGGATAAAACAAGAAATTTAATGAAAATTGTTGTACTTAGTGACTTTTATCATAACTTCTTTAAATGTTTATTCTCTTATAATAAATCTTATCTTTTTTACAATCTGGTTCATGTTTCCTTATTAATTTCCTTCACATTTTCTTCTGTACTTAAGATATATGGCCCAACTTTTTAATTTTTCTCCTTAACAAAAGTTTTACTATCTGACAATTTCAAAAATTAATTCATTCATTCGACTTCCACAAGCTAGTTTTTTCTTATAAAAGTATATTTATCAACGAGCAACTGCCCAATTAAAATACAAAATACAAGTTTAATAAAAGGGAAAATTTAAAACCTAACCTACACTTAGAGAAATGTTGAAATAAAGAGTACCATAAAATTAACATAAACAAGAAATAAATAAAATAAAAAAAAAACAAGGTAACAATTTTAAATACGTTAAATTATCTAGCCACATCAAAATATCACATACATGATTTAAGCTCAAAAAATTAATTTTATATGTTGACCATTTTAATTACCTGGTTAGCATGTACTTTAAAATGTAATTGGCTATCAATTGTTATGTCATTATTCCCTATCCCTTATTTAACTTCAAATTGTTACCCAACTCATACTTTTTACTATTTCCCAACAACATCCACTTCGTTTTACTCACATTAACCTTTAACAAATTCGCACAACAATTCTTCCAAAGTGTTGTTTACGATTCATACAATTTTGTAAACTATCGCAAGCAAAATCTATAAGGACATCATCTGCAAATAGATGAAATTTACATTTACCTGCAGTGTTAATTATATCATTTATATAAATTTAAAAAAAGCAATGGTCCCAAAACACTGCCTTGGGGAACACCAACATTGTTTTCTATTTTATCGGAATAAATTCAGTTTAATTTTAGTTTATGTTGTCTATTTGTTAAATAATCAATAATTCAGTTCAATGCCATCTCATCAATCCCAACACCCCTAATTTTCGTCATTATTCTTCCTCTATTAACTGTCTTGAATGCTCTTTGCAGGTCACTATAATAAAATTGTTTTCTATATTATTTTTCCAATGAAACAATACACCTTTTAAAGCAGTTTCACAACTATGCTTGCTCCTAAACCCAGATTGATATTCACAGAGCAAACTATTTCCTTCCAATTAGCTGACTAATTGCTCATAAATAACTTTTTCCAATTGTTTGGCTGTGGCGCTTATATTAATTGGCCTCAAATGTATTTTTTATTGCTATTTGGTACCTTAGGTATAGGAATAATGGTGGCTAATTTCATTTCAATGGGGACCCTTCCTTGTTCTATAGAACTGTTATTTCAATTTACTAAAGGATCACAAATAAGATCAAAACACTCTTTTAAAAGCTCAACATTAATGTCATCAGGACTACCTTTATTTTTTAATAAATATACAGTCTCTTTCAGTTCTTCTTTTAATATAAAATAAATTTAAGCAGTTAGGCATTAAATTAATGTTAGTTTCCTTTCCATCTCCCATATCAATTGAATTAAAATTATTTACTAGATAGTTATCTGGGACAAATTCTTATAACGTCTTCCAAATCTCATTTGGATTATTTTACTTTTCTAAGTATGTTCTTTTTTCTTCTCTTATTGTTTGTATATCCCGATTTCGTTTCTGTCTGTAACTTTCCCAATTCTCTTTAGTTTTATTATTTCTATATATTTTAAAACTTTCATCTATTTCCTTTGTAACTTGACTTACCGTTTTGTTCTAAAATTCTTTATAGTGCTTACGTATTTTTACCTGTTTTTTAGGAGAAACTTCATTTAAAAGGACATAACAAACTGACAATGGGGTCTATTCTGTAATCATTCCTTTATATTTAACGGCCTTTAAAAATATTGGCGACCTTTAAAAATATGTTTGTATTCGTTAATTTACTTCTGTCATTATTTAAACAGATTTCTTTAAGATAGTCCTCTAATGTATTTTAAAGATCCGTTTAAATAATGACAGAAGACATTTTACATAAACTCTGTAAAAAGGATTGAAAATGTCCAAAATAAATATCTACGATATTGTGCCTTTAAAGTTGGTCTAGCAGCAGGTACATATA